AGTCCAAGCCTCTGGTTCCTGGAGGAGGAGCTAGCTCCCTCAGGGGAACTCTGAAAGTTTTCCTTCCCATGAAGGCTCCTGTCAATCAGAAAACGTCCTCCTCATTAAAAACACAGAGTTAATCTCAATGCTGACAGTCCCAAACTAAACTAATGAACCGATTAAATAAAGTATTCTGACTGAGTCCTCAGCTTGATCAGACGTAGAGACAATAATCTGCTCGTCTCTGTTGTCCTGGTCCTGCTGTGTCTTCAGTTTTCCTCTTCCAGCGTTTTCCTCTTTCATCTGTCATTTCATGTTGGGCTCTTTACCTCCTGCTTCCGACCCTGTCAGCTATCACTTTGTGTGCGCCGGTCCAAACCACGCTTTTTCCACTCCCTTTGTTCATGTTGTTGTTGTCCTTTGTGTCCCTCCTCTGTTTGGTTTCTGGGGTTTTTTCTGTGCAGCGCAGGCAGATCAGCGGGTAGCTGTTCTAGTTTTCCAGCCCGGCTGCTAAATGCTTTCATTTTCAACTAAAAAAAGGACGTCTTTAGATTACATTCATTCTCTAATCCTAACGTATACCTTTCCGCCAATGTTTTAAAAAGAATAATCTATGGATTTATGAAGGTTGTGTTAATAAAGCTGCAGGTTCTGCTAGGTCCTGTTTGTAGAAGAGGATTAACTTGGCCTGACAGCAAAAAGGGGTCCATAGGGATGCCATTAGGTATTACCATCTGGCCGGCACATCCATGAGTGACTGTGAGTCAGAAATACACCAACCACAGATCAGCTTTGATAGCAACCAATCATCCTGTAAAAATAATCTTTAAAATGTTGCAAAGATGTTCATCAGGCACCAAAGGGAAATAAATGTCACACGCAGGGAGGATGTGGTAAAAAAGTAAGAGGGAAAGCAGTAAAAGGGCAGCAACACATCAAACATTTGTTTCTCTCAGCTTCACTCCTCTGTAATCATCTCTCCTTGTATGTTCCTCCATCAGCTGCAGGAGCAGAGAACATCCAACCCTTTGGTCTATATCTGCTCTCCCTGACAAACAGGTGGGTGGGTTTATTCTGCAGACCCTGAGATGTTTGGAGGCACAGAAAGCTGCTGTCGCAGATACCTCAGAGTATCAGAAGCAACTTCTGAGGAGAAAAATCCAAGGATCTCGCTGCTCTTTCTGACGTCGGTTTGTTTTCCTCCCCTGGGAGATCTTTTATGTGACTGCAGTAGGATTTCCAACTTTAATTATGCTTAGAAGAAAACAACAGGTGGAGCTGGAATTGCTCCATGTTGTTTTAGCTGCAAGTATTAATGCTTCATAAGTTTTGTTGGCTTTAAATATTGCAGGAGGATGCGTACAAGATTAAGCTTTTAAAATAAATAATAAAACTGGAGGATTCCATGCATAAACTCTGAGCTTCTGGAACCTTCTTCTCTCAAACCGTTTCTTCTCTTTTTATGCCGCCATGCATAAAATCAATTCTAATTTTAACCTGTGGTTTTTTTCATACATAAATCCCAACAGTTTTATCAGCCCAGTTTGTTCCTCTGTTCTTTCATCACAGCCTTTCATTTATTTTCTTTTGCTTTTCTATGATAAACCAACATAACATGTTCTATAGCTGTGCAGAGAAATTAGGATTTTAAGAGTTCAACTAGTTTCCTTTTTAAGCATTTATTGATATTCCGCCCCCTTTAATCAAATCAACAAAATAAAGATTAAAAAGACTCCCTGACTGCAGAGGTCCAGCAGTTCCAGTCCTCCCTGCTGTCAGGCGACCTCTCCATTCATCCACTAAGAGAGCAGCAGAACATGGCGCCGACCTAAAGCCGTAAGGGATGGAGGGAACAGCCATGACGCTATATATACAGATATATATACAAAGTTTGGGGTCACATTAAAATGTCCTTATTTTTGTACTACTTCCTTCAGAGGACAGTACAAACAGCCTACTGCAGGTGCTATTGAATGAAGATGCCAGTTGGGGACCTGTGAGGCGTCTGTTTCTCAAACTAGAGACTCTAATGTACTTATCTTCTTGCTCAGTTGTGCAACGCGGCCTCCCACTTCTTTTCCTACTCTGGTTAGAGCCTGTTTGTGCTGTCCTCTGAAGGGAGTAGTACACACCGTTGTAGGAAATCTTCAATTTCTTAGCAATTTCTTGCATGGAATAGCCTTCATTTCTAAGAACAAGAATAGACCGACGAGTTTCAGATGAAAGTTCTATTTTTCTGGCCATTTTGAGTGTTTAATTGACCCCACAAATGTGATGCTCCAGAAACTCAGTCTTCTCAAAGGAAGGTCAGTTTTGTAGCTTCTGTAACGAGCTAAACTGTTTTCAGATGTGTGAACATGATTGCACAAGGGTTTTCTAATCATCAATTAGCCTTCTGAGCCAATGAGCAAACACATTGCACCATTAGAACACTGGAGTGATAGTTGCTGGAAATGGGCCTCTATACATCTATGTAGATATTGCACCAAAAACCAGACATTTGCAGCTAGAATAGTCATTTACCACATTAGCAATGTATAGAGTGTATTTCTTTAAAGTTAAGACTAGTTTAAAGTTATCTTCATTGAAAAGTACATTGCTTTTCCTTCAAAAATAAGGACATTTCTATGTGACCCCAAACTTTTAAACGGTAGTGTATATAGATATATTTAAATCTATATCTATGTATAGATATAGATATATACCATATCTACCTACTGGGGACACTGATAAAATGGCCCCTCAGCTGACACTGATTCTCTGCTTTGGGTAAAAACTCATCAGTCCTGCATCACTGTCACATGACCGGCCCCTCCCCCCTGCTAAAATTAGCCAACTTTAACTAATCAGACTGATAAGTCGTGTAAAACAACTTGATAAAGTCTTTACTGGTGCCATATTTTAGGACAATCTTTCATTATCTGTGTCAGTGATGAGAGTTTTAGAGCGGCCATCAGGAAGCTGGGACCAATGTGGCCTGCAGAGCGACTCAGGAACAGCAAACTACTGTCAGCAGCAATGGGACCTGAAAAGGTTGAAGCATAGGTCAGTTCTATAAATTATAACTGATATAGAGAGATGGCTGACTTTGATGAATGTTAACGTATTCTGGCACTAATAAAAAGCATTTCCATAATCCCAGCAGATCTAAAACAGGTTTGTTTGATTAAATGTGACAGGAAAAACATCATGTGTAAATATCAGGTTTGAACTCCATACTGGTCAATCTTTTTATATTTCTGTACCTTTTAGGAACATATCATTTATAAACCTTTGCATATCTGCAGTTAGTCTGTCAAATAAAACAACTTTAGGTTCAAAGGGTTTAATACCTTTTCAAAGCAAGGTGAAAAACTAAAAACTCACCGATCTCAAGGATTGGAGAAAAGTACCTTGACCAGGAGTACACCAACCTACAACAACCGGAATCAAACCTACAACTTTCAAACTCCCACTGAGCCACCGTGGCCTTTAACAGACACTGGCTCTAATTACCTGATGCTACTTTATAAAAAACATTTCAGGATCCCAGCAGCAAACCAGGCTTCTGACCCGGATAGGAGGGGAGCTGCATCCTGGTTCACATCTTATTAGTTAGTAATGTGGAGCTGTCCAAAGTGTTCATGTTTATTCCTCCGGTATAAATCCTGCTGTTTAAAAACACTCTGTAGAAGTTAGACGATCAACTTCAGCTTTTTACTCCAGTAAAAGTGTAAAAGCAGCATTTTAAAAACTATTTAAAGTATAAAAGTAATGTAGGAAAAACAGTTTAGGCCAGAAGCTTTACTGCTCTCTCCTATTAAAGGAACATTTTTCTACAATTCTGGATGATAACTTCCTTAGACTTCATTTTATTAGTTTTATAACTAAAAGTAACAGAGTCACATTTAACTTTGCATCATCTTGATCATTTATTTGTTTTGGTTTGATGTGAGCAACCAGTTGGGGCAGCACCGAATCCAACCATAAAGAAATTAATTGTCTGGATGGAACTAATTATTTTGATGGTTAATTAAATAATGAAAAGGAGCTTAAATGAAACAAAACTAACAAGTCTATTTTTAAAATGTAAGGAGTAGAAAAAAAGTTGTCTATTAAAATAATTACTACAGTAAAGTATAGATACCCAACATTTCTACTTATATAAGGAAAAGAAGTATTTCTACTTTGTTATATAAAACCACTGAAATAATCAGGGGCGGATTTAGGAAATGTGGGGCCCTAGGCAAAGACTGGCAGGAGGCCGTCTGAAGATAGAAGACAACACATAGAACAGAACCATTCTCCAGATACAGAAATGTTAATAGAATAGACATCCATTATCTGTTCTAGGTTGTGTCCCTCTCTTCTTGTCCCTTTTCTTCTTGTTTTCCTCTCTATGTTTTGTACTCAGCTGACTTTTCATGCTGTCTCTAAAGGAATGAAAGATTTTTTCCAAGCACTAAGCTCACTTAGCTGATTGCTCCTTCCTGTGTTTCCAAAAAGGCCAAAGTAAATAACCCAGTCCTTCTTTTCACTGTAGACAAGCCATGATCTGCTGCATGATCTGTGCTGAGGCACATTCAATAAGCTTAGAACTGAGTTTATAAGCTTTCTGATAGCATTTTAGCCAAAGGATTAAATGGAGTTTTATGGGGCCCCCAGCAAGGTTTCATCTGCTGTGAAGCTCAGAACCGTTTTTATTGGTGGTTTGGGATTATTCTCTGTCTCTGCAGAGTTACAGCAGAACTCAGATGGGAAATGAAAAAAAGCTGAATGTAAGGGATGCATGTTCGACCGATCCGGCGTGATACGAACAGACTTAACAAGACAGAGCTTGTTGTTTCAAAGGGGACGAGGTAAGAGAGCGGTGGCGTGCATGTCAGGCCAGCGAGCCCTCCGTTTATGACAGACATGATTTACAGCCAGTAAAAAAAACAGGGTCAAGGAAGATTATATAAAGGTCTGTTTGCTGCATGGCTGCAGCGCCTGCTCCTCTACTTGCAGTTTGTTGCTTATACTTTCCTGCCAGTTAGACCATGTCCTACAGCAGGGGTTCCCAAAAGAAGGTTCAGGACCCCCACAGGGTCACAAGGCATCAAGTAGTTTTCACATTCACTGCGATGCGCTCTTTGAAATATAATAATATGAATGCCAATTAAATAAATTAAAATATCATGAAATATGGAGGGAATTTTGTTCCTTTATTGTTGCAAAGAAGACATTTTATAAATGAAACTTTGAAGAACTTGGTTTTCAAAAAAGGGTTTTGAGTTTGACATCTTTTTTCCAAACTCATTTTACAGATTTTATATTTTGAACTTTTATTTTTCAATAGTTTTTTTTTTTTTTTTTTTTTTAAGTTGCATTTAGGAGGCTTCCCTCTGGAGGGAGGGGCCAAGATGCATTTCTATTGGTCTGCTGGGTGTTAGCAAAGACATTTTGATTGGTCAAGAGCGAGCGATGACATGGGTTTGAAGGGAGGGAAGGAGCAATTTGAAAAGATATAAATAAAAAAAAAATAAAATCTTTAAAAATGAAAATAAATATTTGAAAGAATTTTTAAAAATAAAATCTGAGAAAACAGCCAGTTATCCTTAAAACATGCACATTTAAATTCCACAATTAAATCATAGAATTTCCGATGAAATAATTTAAAATGCATTTAATTTAATGAAGTCAATGGTGAAATGTCATTAAAAATGAATTCATTTAAAACATAATTGCTTCACTTTAAGGTGTTAGGTAATGCATTTGTATTTTTGGGGGTCTGCTTTCTGTTTCATTGTTATTTTTGGGGTCCCAGGCTGAAATGTTTGGGAATCTCTATCCTAAAGCACCAAGTACTGATTTTATATAAACCACAAGTCTGCCTGCCTCTTTTATTTCGACATTCATTTCTTACATTTCAAGATATTCTGTCCGTAAGCGTATTCAATAAGTTGCAGCTTAGAGCATTTTCTGCTTCTTCTCTGATGTTTTTTTGTTGAGGGATGAAGGTGTTAGAGGGAAAACAAATGGTGCAGAGATCCCAAGCTTTGCAGAAAGGAGCTGCTTTTCTAACAGATAAATCAGAAACACATGAAAAAGAGACGGACGGAGCAGCAAACCATGCACTGATGCACCAATGGGCATTCTGAAACTACTAGACCTTAGGAAGAAGGAGGAGTCCACTGAGAACCCAGAGGGTAAACAAAATTGCATTTGTATTGAGAGACGTTTGAGATTTATCAGCTTGACTTTTTATGTACCAGAATAAATAAAAATAATATGACCAGTAACAACAGACATAGACTCAACTTTATTCGAGTCCCTGTCAGAGACATAGACAGGTATGGGGCATTGCAGGCTAACAAAGAAGCCAAATGACCCCCATTCCAAAGGGGTGGACCCGTTCATCAGTTTCTATTAGCAAAAAACAAGTGTTGTTGGGTTACTGGATAAAACCTGGAACTCAGCACTATTTCTGACATTTTGAATTAAAAAGCTTCCTGGATGGAAGAGAAACGTCTTCAAACTTGGAAACAAAGTGGATTGTTTTTAAACTTTTTTGGATTATCAATCTGTTGTGTTGTTAAAAAAAAGATGAGAGCTTTGGAGAACATTGAAGCTCCTTCAATTTGAACCACCTGTTGGCAGCAGGGAGCTTCTTATTGGCTGTTTTTTTTTTCTGTTTAGCAGCTCTGCGCTTTCTGATTGGTTAACAGAAACATCATTGGACAAACTTTTCATATTCTATCAATCTGAAGGCTGCTGGTTCTAATCCCAGCCGCTGCCGTAGGGCCTCCCTCATGCTGTCATAAATTCCTGTCCCAGTGAGTGATGCTTGCGGGTAGCCATGGTAACCCCCCCTCCTCTCTCTCTCTCTGGCAGTGTTCCTATAGGTCTCTCTCCCCTCTGAAGCCGTCAGGCTACTTTGCGCATGTTCGTCCAGCCGCACAGAGCATTGCATCGACACCAAGATGGCGAAAACACGTCTGGCTTTCCTCCTCGCGCTCCTCTCCACTCACAGTAAGTCAAATCAAAGCTGCTGGTTCCGCGCGGCTCTCTGGCTGCCGGATAACATCACTTTTAATCCGCGGTTGGACCTGAGCGGGCCGCGGGTCACCGCGGAGCCACGCGGCGGAGGAGAGCCGCTTTCCTCCCAACTTTCTGCTGCTCCCCTGGCTTGTTTTCACCAGAACTCCGCGGCGGGTCCCCAGCCGGCCGGACCGGAGCCGGGCTGGCCGGCTGGGGCACGCTTGGCTGGCCGGTGTGTTTGTCCTGGTTCCGGAGGTCCGGAAAAGAAATAAACTTTGCTCAAGTTCGGTTAAAAAGGTCCGTTAATTGAAGTGGTGTCTGCGCGGTTTTGTGGCCGGCGCAGAAAGCGGCTCACCGCGGGGCGGCGGGGATGGAGAGATAACGGTCCTCCCCGCGGCGGCGGGCCGCGGGAGGAGCCGGGCGGGCCGGGACCACCTCCTCCCATCACCCGAACCGAACCTTCAAGCTTAGAACTGAGTTTCTGAACGACTGGAGGCGATTTTCCCCTAACAGTCCTGGTTCCTCCGCTGAACCGGCCACCTGTGAGATCAGCTCCGCGGGTCAGAGCCGAGCTCCGCTGCTTCTGGAACATTATTCCACCTTTCATTAATGAGGATGGGAGTTTCCAGGTTTCTATCGGTTGATCTGCTTAAAGAAAGCAGCTGAGGTTATTAAAACGATTCTAACAGAAACCAGCCCAGGGTCCAGGTGGCTCCATGTTCCGGGGCCCCTGACCCGCAGGATGGAGGGTTAATTAGTCAGGAGCCCAAATTCAGGAAGTTTGAGGAGAATCCCAGAAGGCAGCAGAGACCAGCAGCTGTCTGATCTAATTTACAAACTTTTTAAGCTTAATTCAAATCAGCTTCAATGATGTTTGTTCTTCTGTCAGTTCAAAGTGAGATCAGCTCAGCAGCGCCGCCTGCTGACCGGATTCACTTCTATATGTGTTTAATCTCACAGGTTCTGCTTTCTACCATAAACAGGGGGGGGATTTGCCATTAGGCAATACTGGGAGCTGCCTAGGGCCCCAAGTTTCAGGGGGCCCCATTAAACTCTGTTTATATGTATAGTTAAAACAACTATTCCTTATTTTTGTACATTAATTATGTTTTCTATGAAAATCCTTTATCTAAAATGCCATCAGAACGTTTATAATATTAAGTGTGTCTCAGCCCCCCCCTTCAGGGTCCACCATATTGGATCAGTCCATTTGCTGCACATGTTCAGAAAGGTCCAAACAGACAAAAAAGCTCCTAGCGCCAAATCTAGGGACTTTTTTTCTGCTACTGGAGACTTTGGAGACAACATCTAAAAGCAGCGAACTCTGCTCTCCAGAGCGAGTAGATTGGTAACCCAGCCTCCTGCTCTCCTCTATCTTTTCTGCTGTCATGATTCATGCAGCTATTATTTCATCCAAATGATGTCTATTCTATTAACATTTCTCTATCTGTATAATGGGTCTGTTTTATGGGTTGTCTTCTAAATCCGCCCCTGACCATAAACACAAACTTTGTTTAGTTGGTCGGTTTGGATGGTTCCAACTTTAAGAACATTAAGGAACATCTTTGTTTCGGTGGGCAGCAGGCCCCCAGCAGGAGGACCTGAGCTCAGCACCATCCGGGTCTTTGGTCATTAATTGTTGAACACAGGAAGTCTTTTATTAGTTAATTTGGTTCTCATGCTGTGGAAACAGTTCTGATCCAGATGAGGCTGCAGGTCGCTCCGCCGCCGCTCTCTCTGCTCTGGTCCGTTTCCTCTCTCTGATGATGAGCTCGTTTTCTCTGTTCTGGTCATCCTAATGCACCGGGTTGAACGGGACCGCCAGGGTTAGAACCACGTCCAGAAGGGGGTTCTGACCCGTGTGTCTCAGCTCTAGCAGGATCATTCATCATGTCATCCCTCAGAACCGGTTTGGACCGATCTTCATCAGAACAGATTAGATCAGGTTATTGTTTGGTGATTTCTTTGGATCGGTGGTCCATCAGAACCAGAGCCAGGGCCTCCGAATAGATAACAGCTGGAGGTTCTGTTGTGTCGGAGTCCATCTGAGGTGAGCGTAGAAATGTTCTGGTTCTGTCCATGTAGGTCAGTCACAGACGGCCTGACAGGCCCAGAGACCCCCATGACACTGCCTCTCTCCCTCCCCCGTTCAGGACCTACAAGCTACACCAACGTAGCATCTCCAGACCGTCACATTAATGCACATCCTGCTGTGTATATAGTATAAAGCTGTATACTATATATTGTATGAAGTGTATAGTATGTTTCATATTGTATTTAGCTGTAGATCCTGTATTCGGTATATATATATATAATTTGCCTGCATTATCAACACAAAGTTAAATTCCTCATAAAGTTCAAACCTACTTGGCAATAAACTTGATTCTGATTCAGTAAACGCTCAGAACCTCTGGGCCTCAGGCCGGACCCGCCCTGAGGAATGACCCGGAGCAGCTGAGCGGGGGTGGGCGGGTTGTTTTGAGCCGCGCTGCAGGCGTGACCAGAAATATCTGCTGAGTCCCTCCTAAAGCTGACGGTGCCGTGTTGGCAGATGCAGTGATCCAAATAGAAAACACATGGAGGCCCGCCGCTCCACAATCAGAACCACCTGTTTCCCTGAAGATGAAACCGCTCCCCCGCCGTCACGCCGGCTGAGCGAAGGGGGGGTGGGTCAGGGTGTGTCGATTCCAGAACCTGGAACCGGTTCTGGAATCAGAGACGAGCGGGAAAAAGTCATCAGTCAGACATGAGCTTCCTGACAAAGATACGACGATGATGACTGAGCAGGGCGGCGTGTCTGGGTCACACCCAGAGCTGGAACACAGAACATCGACCCGATTCAGCTTCTGGTTAACCAGAACCATGAGACCTCCTCAGGTAGAACCATTGGACCTCCTCAGGTAGAACCATGAGACCTCCTCAGGTAGAACCATGAGACCTCCTCAGGTAGAACTATTGGACCTCCTCAGGTAGAACTATTGGACCTCCTCAGGTAGAACCATGAGACCTCCTCAGGTAGAACCATGAGACCTCCTCAGGTAGAACCATTGGACCTCCTCAGGTAGAACCATTGGACCTCCTCAGGTAGAACCATTGGACCTCCTCAGGTAGAACCATGAGACCTCCTCAGGCAGAACCATGAGACCTCCTCAGGTAGAACCATGAGACCTCCTCAGGTAGAACCATTGGACCTCCTCAGGTAGAACCATGAGACCTCCTCAGGTAGAACCATGAGACCTCCTCAGGCAGAACCATGAGACCTCCTCAGGTAGAACCATGAGACCTCCTCAGGTAGAACCATTGCACCTCCTCAGGTAGAACCATGAGACCTCCTCAGGTAGAACCATGAGACCTCCTCAGGCAGAACCATGAGACCTCCTCAGGTAGAACCATGAGACCTCCTCAGGTAGAACCATGAGACCTCCTCAGGTAGAACCATTGGACCTCCTCAGGTAGAACCATGAGACCTCCTCAGGTAGAACTATTGGACCTCCTCAGGTAGAACTATTGGACCTCCTCAGGTAGAACCATGAGACCTCCTCAGGTAGAACCATGAGACCTCCTCAGGTAGAACCATTGGACCTCCTCAGGTAGAACCATGAGACCTCCTCAGGTAGAACCATTGGACCTCCTCAGGTAGAACCACGAGACCTCCTCAGGTAGAACCATGAGACCTCCTCAGGTAGAACCATTGGACCTCCTCAGGTAGAACCATGAGACCTCCTCAGGTAGAATCATTGGACCTCCTCAGGTAGAACCATTGGACCTCCTCAGGTAGAACCATGAGGCCTCCTCAGGTAGAACCATGAGACCTCCTCAGGTAGAACCATTGGACCTCCTCAGGTAGAACCATTGGACCTCCTCAGGTAGAACCATGAGACCTCCTCAGGTAGAACCATTGGACCTCCTCAGGTAGAACCATTGGACCTCCTCAGGTAGAACCATTGGACCTCCTCAGGTAGAACCATTGGACCTCCTCAGGTAGAACCATTGGACCTCCTCAGGTAGAACCATTGGACCACCTCAGGCAGAACCATTGGACCTCCTCAGGTAGAACCATTGGACCTCCTCAGGTAGAACCATGAGACCTCCTCAGGTAGAACCATGAGACCTCCTCAGGTAGAACCATGAGACCTCCTCAGGTAGAACCATTGGACCACCTCAGGCAGAACCATTGGACCACCTCAGGCAGAACCATTGGACCTCCTCAGGTAGAACCATTGGACCTCCTCAGGTAGAACCATTGGACCTCCTCAGGTAGAACCATTGGACCTCCTCAGGTAGAACCATTGGACCACCTCAGGCAGAACCATGAGACCTCCTCAGGTAGAACCATGAGACCTCCTCAGGTAGAACCATTGGACCTCCTCAGGTAGAACCATTGGACCTCCTCAGGTAGAACCATTGGACCACCTCAGGCAGAACCATTGGACCTCCTCAGGTAGAACCATGAGACCTCCTCAGGTAGAACCATGAGACCTCCTCAGGTAGAACCATGAGACCTCCTCAGGTAGAACCATTGGACCTCCTCAGGTAGAACCATGAGACCTCCTCGGGCAAAACTATTGGACCCCCTCAGGTAGAACCATTGGACCTCCTCAGGTAGAACCATTGGACCCCCTCAGGTAGAACCATTGGACCCCCTAGGGTAGAACCATTGGACCCCCTCAGGTAGAACCATGAGACCTCCTCAGGCAGAACCATTGGACCTCCTCAGGTAGAACCATGAGACCTCCTCAGGTAGAACCATGAGACCTCCTCAGGTAGAACCATTGGACCTCCTCAGGTAGAACCATGAGACCTCCTCGGGCAAAACTATTGGACCCCCTCAGGTAGAACCATTGGACCTCCTCAGGTAGAACCATTGGACCCCCTCAGGTAGAACCATTGGACCCCCTCAGGTAGAACCATTGGACCCCCTCAGGTAGAACCATGAGACCTCCTCGGGCAAAACTATTGGACCCCCTCAGGTAGAACCATTGGACCTCCTC